ACATGCTACAAATTGTTCAAATCCAACCCATCCTAGCTTTTGCCAGTGCAGGGCTGTGGGAGAACTGTCCCGGATTTTCTCCATTTTGCATTCTGGCATGTGCTTTGTGTATTGCCCTTGCCGCGCTGCATTTTTAGGTTGATGTTTTGCAAGGTAATGTCTTGGCATGGGACATTCTTGCTGCAGTTCATCTTGATGGCATCCTTGGTGGTGGTTGTCCCTCTGATGTTCTTGAAGACGACATTGCTGACCTCGACAGCCGACCCTTGCGCTTCGCATGGCTTGGCCTTGTCGCAGTAGTTCTGGTCGATGATTATTGGGTTCTTAACATCATACATGACCATGTTTTGGAACGTGATATCCTTGGCGTATCCACTTCCTCCCTGGTATGTTTTGATGCGTGCTCCGTTAGTCGTGCCATATAGTTGCACGGAATCTATGGTAATGCCAGAGACTTCAGCTCTTGAGTTGTCATCTCCTAAGCTTCCTATACTGATCCCATGTCCAGGACCACAAACAACTTTGGACACATGAAGATTATGAGTCCTGTTCTCGATTGACATGCAATCATCCCTGCGAAATTCAGCGGTGATGAGTTCACCGAAAGCTTGAAGATGCAATAATGGCATATGTTGTATACGATGCGAATAAGTATTCGCATCAAGCTACTTACCTGTCTTGATCTTGCAGTTTGTGACGCGTACATCCTTGCTCCGAGTGATGTGGATGCCGTCGGTGTTAGGGCTCGTGCCAGGCGCTGTGATGGACAACCGCGCCAGTAGCACATTGGTGCAATCCTCGACTGACATGTGGATCTGTTGGCTGTTCACAATTTTCAGATCCTCCACTCTCAGATTGGTGCAGTAGTGGAATGACAAAGCCGTTGGAGCTTCCTTGCAAGGCTGAAGAAAAGAGAAGCCAATTCTGCTAGGGACAGACACTTCCTAGTAAAGCACAAGCTTACAAATATTCAGATAAATAAACCAAAGGGTCGGCACCACACTTACCAGAGCCTTGTTGATCTTGCACGAGTGTGGCCACCACTTCTCGCCATTGCCATCGATGGCGCCACCGCCATTGACGGTAAGCTTGTTGACGCTTCGGAACACGATCCAGTGCCTCCTGTCCTTGTCGCTCCAGTCCGCCCTGTTCGGCGACGCCACCAGCGTTCCCTTGACCGTGAGAGTAACGCTGGACTTGCACGGGCCCTGGAGAGTGACAAGCTTGAGCAGGTAGTGCCTGCTGTCTGGGACGAGCACGACGGCCGGTCGTGGCGAGGCGCACGCCGCCTTCCACGCCCTGGCCAGCGCCTTTGTGTCGTCGTGGCTCCCATCGCCACGGGCGCCGTAGCGGTCGACGCTGAACACGCTCTGCGACGACGGCGACGCCAGCGACCTGCCCCTGGGAGCGGCGGCGGATCCATTGGCGCGAGGGCTGTGCAAGTGGTTTGTGCCGTCAGCCGTGTCGTCATTGCTCGCTCCTGCAGCCTCAAGAGTGCCGGACATGAAGAGCGTCGCGAGGAGAGGCACCATGAACACAAGCTTCACCAGCTTCCTGCTGGATGCCATTGTCAGAGCTACGCACGCGCGCTGTGCAGGTGGTGAGTTGCGGCCTCGACTTTGAACTCTCAAGTGAACAAAGATCACCGAAAAATACAAAGATCACAACAGAACTGAAGGCGATAGTGCAGCTTGAGCTTTGTATCTGATCGCAGGGGACTTGTTGCTATGCTTGCTCTGCTTGGTGATTGTGTTTGATTGGATGGTGACTTGGTGAGTAAGCAGCATGCCAACGGCCGTATATATAGGCGCGCGCGATGAGGCGGGATGCGTTGCTTGTGAAGAAGAGTTAGGTTGGCAGCAGATATGTGCAGTGGAGTGTGCATGCATGCTTTGCCATGCATACCCCATGGATTCCTGAGATTCTTCAGGCATGGCAAAAGGAGATAAATGTGCCTGAATCGTGTCCACCTGCAGGTATTTCTCACGACGAAAATTCTAACGTTTGTTTGCTTGCCCGCTGCCGTTGATGCGAGTACGTCCGATAGTGCACGTGCACGAGTGCTTGTGTACGTTTGTTCTCAGGACAAGTCAGCATGTCCATCAGATTCTTTGCAGTGCACTCCATGAAAGTTGGAGCATGAGGGCCCCCACGGCAGTGACAGTTCATAATTCGGTTAGGCATATGTGAGGAACTGAACCATGCTTTATATAATTTCCCGATATGACGATGTCCGGAAGCAACAGGGGCTTATAACGTCCGGAAGCAACATACTAATATTATAGCATTCAACGCGTCGATGATGATGCAATCTGCTACTATAAGCACTTCATAAGCCAGCCGGTTCAGTAGTGCAAGAGTCAGCACAATCGACGCAAACAATCGATCATGCATCTGTTTACAATGTTTCAAACTATGTATTGCAGCACCAATTATCAAATATCTCACTAGCTATTACAAATTGAAGGTCCTAACGAAGCCTCCACATTAATCCTCGTGACAAGGTGCGGTAGAAAAAATAAATTCTTGAAATTCTTATAAAAACCCAGAAATATATAGTCATCACAATTCAGTAGTACGTCTCTAACCAATATTGACATAACCTTTTTGAATTTACCCACCTGTGCTATTATGATAAATTGCTGATCCTTCCATTATCATAGATAATCTAAGCTAGTGACCCATTAAATTTTAATCTAAATTGCCACTTCTGCCACCATGAAAAATCCCTCAAAATAAGTATATCGGTAGCTCAACTGCTTAGATTTCTTATAACGTTTTACACGGATCGCAACAAAAGTAAAATCCGTTGCCCCTGCTAGCTTGATGTCTTGATGAGCCCCTGCCTGTAGTGCCTACTTTAATTTTCACGTTTGCTGATCTTTGTTGCGCGCGTTTTAATTGAGCAATCGACTATGATCGGGAGAAGTGGAGACGGGTACGTACGTGATGCATAGTGCATTGCATGGTGCAGATCGAGGTCGTGTGCTGCCAAACTCCATCGGGTGACTTGCCGGCCCAAGCCTTGCCGCGCCCTAGCTGGATCGATAGGCTGGAGGTAGACCGGTCGTTGCATTGCATGCATGGAGAGTACGCTCCTTTTCACTTTTCGTGTGCTGGAAGAGAACCGATTAACGCCGCCAAACGAAATGAAGGCCCAAGTACACGTAACATCAGTACAAGCAGGTCACTCTCCAACTCCAAGTCTCCATTATGGATGGCACTAATTAATTTGCTTATTTTATTGCTCCAACTAGTGAGTTATCTGTTGATACATTTTCATGTCTGTCTCCGAGGTGCATAATAAACTGCTAGCTGTGTGTTCGGAATTTCGGCCAAAATTTCGCGATTTTCTATCCTATATATTGGTGACCTCAGGTAAATATATATACAGTTAATCTCATTTTTTCAGTCAAATGAGATTTGTTCGGATTCTCGAGTTTTTAATCAAAATTCCACAAAATTTAAATATTTTTTGAGGATTCTCAAGATTTTTATTTGTATCGTCTCCTCCGGGATTTGTTCCCAACCGGTAGGCCGAACCCTGACTATCAGTGTCATATGCTTCCAAGTTCTAAGAGCGTCTTTAAGAGTTTCCAAAAACACTCCTAATCTAGATTTTTTTTTGGCAAGATTAGAAAGAAACTGCTCTCCAACGGCTCCCTATCTCAACTCCCAACCCTTACCGCACTTGGCAAACTAGACCAGATCGCGCCGATGTATAACGCGTGTATGTATCGGCTTGCTTGTGAAGACCGCCAGCAGGGACTGGACATGTTCCGCTGGTCAGTTGATAGGGTATATCTTTTTTTCGCTAAATTGTTTTTTAGTTCACAACACCTCCTAGAAAAATCAAGTATGGATGCCAGCATTGTCTGTAAGTCAGAAACCGAAGGATTAGCGAAAACGCTAGCATATCGGCATAAAGAGAGCACATCAGCTTGGTATTCAGGCAATTTGAGGTGTACAATGCTCTGCTTCGCCCTCCCTAGTCTCTACAACTGATTTAAGGAAAGTAAAATACTTTACCTTGTAATTTGTATGAATAATGATAGCTATGGTTCATTTTAGAGTTTAGATTGTCTTGAATTTGGTTGGGGGTCTCTACAATTTTCCATTTTCATTCACTAGCCACATCACCCACGCATTGCAAGCTACAAATCTGAAGCTATACGTGACCTTACAGGAAATGGATTTACAAGAAAGGGAAAGTATTCCTAGAAATACGAACTGTTGCTACTTTGTATAAAAGAATATACATGAAAGTTATATGAATGAACCAATTAACGAATACACAGTTAGCAATACAAAGTTACATATTTTCACAGGTGTCAGAAAAAAAAAAACAATTGAGAAAAAAACACTCACCCTTTTATCAAATTCGCCCACCCACGGGCGACTCAGGCCCAAGCGACCCCACCGCGGCAACCCAGCCCCCCCTCCGTGTGTCCATAAATCCCCTCAGGTGATAGGAACACCACCCTCAAGCGCGTGCCACAAAACCCTAGAAATCACAAAAAGGGGCTGTGCAAATGATATCTCCTTCCCAAGCCGACTCCTCCTCCTCCACCTTCTTCTCCGCGAGGCGGGCTTGCCTAAGTCCACGTTGATCTGGTCTCCCCACTAAGGATTAGTAGTTGCCATGCAATCCGCTTTTCGGTGGCCGCCAAGAGATTGGGTCTCCATGGGCCGGATCTCCACGACGCTTCAAGAGATGCCCGTACCTAGGGTCGGCGGCTGCCACGACACCGGTTGCTTGCACCCACGCGGTCTCTGGCGCGCCTCTAGCTAGGAGCAAAGCTCTAAGAGTAATCGACAATGGTGGGCGGCCAGGCTGCCGTGAACCTAGTGCTCGATCCGAGTTGGAAAATCAAAGGATCCGCTTGCTCTAATGTGGCTACGTTTTGGCGGTGTGGATTGATCTCCGCGCAATAGCGGCGTAACCATCGGAGCTCAAGGCGGGCTGCGCCCGAGAGAGAGAGAGGGCTCTGCTGCTGGCCATGGCCATGGTCGAGCCACCACCTTACGGTGGCTGAAGAGAGGGGCCGGTGGCGGGCCCAAGGGACGCCCCAATGACTATGGTCGAACAAGCTCCTAGGTGTAAACCCCCCCAGCTTCTCGCTTCGGGTCGGCGGTGGTGGTCTCGCACTCGTCATCCACCTTCCTCAAGGCGTCGTCAAGAAAAGAAGGGTAAGAGTAAAGTGTTGGCTATCTCGCCCGGGCCGTGAAAGGTCCTAATATGGCTAGAGGGGGGGTGAATATCCTATTAAAAATCTAAAAGATCACTAGAGCAATTTGATTAGTATCACAAATAGCGAATTGCAAACTTGCTCTAGCTTTACAAGGATTGTGTAGGATCTCTGGTTAGCCTAGAGGAGGGAGTGAATGGGCATGTTAAAACAAACACTCAAACTTTTCACGCTTGTCAAATTCAAAATCTCATTAGTTCTCTAATTGCGTGGCATTATCACCAAAACCCACAATTAGGGCTTGCCGCACTTTTGACAACTTCGTGGCACAATTCAAAAACTGTGAATGGAAACTTGAATCGGATAAATTACTGAGCTTCCTGCAGGTATATGTAACATATATCAACAGCTAAAAGTGATAGGAACACCACATACAAGTAGATCGGCCACAAATCCTAGAAATCACCTCAACAACAATATGAAATACAAATGATGTAAATCAAGCATAAGGTGACACGATGATTTATCCCATGTTTTGGCTCGCCACCAAGGCTTGCCTAAGTCCACGTTGTTGAGGTTAACCACTAAGGCTTAGGGCTTTGCAACTCTTCCTCATTTTCAAGTCGACTCAACTCTTGAGATGAGGGGTGAGTTTACTAGCTTCAAGAGATGGTTACAAACATTCTGGGGCTACCACATAAGTTGGCAAGCTCCACGAGCGACGCTCTAGCAGGCTAGGAGCAAAGCTCCAAGAGTAATAAACACAATCGCCGGCCAAAACGTGAACCAAGTGCTCGTTTGAGTTGGGGAATCAAAGGATCTGCTCTCTAATCGAGTTTGGGACTTTTTCCAATGATTGATAGGGAAATCCTCCTTTGCTGCTCCAAGCCGTCTAGGTGGTGGCAACCACTAAGAGAAACAAGAAATCCACAACCACAATAATCTTCAAGTGCCACTAGATTCAATCACTCAAGCAAATGCACTTGGAATCACTCACAATCTCACTATGATGATGAATCGATGATGGAGATGAGTGAGAGATGTTTGCTTAGGCTCACAAGAATGTTAGAAATGTTAAAGTGCCAAGAGAGTGAGCCCCATGCCGGTACCTTTCTATTTATAGAGCCCCAAGACTCAAAGAGCCGTTGGGCACTCTCGGGCTGACCAGACGCACTGACCGGACGCGCCCCTGCATCCGGTCGGTTAGCGTTCGGTCACACCGATGGCCGCCACGTGTCTCCGTTTAAACTTCAGCCATCGGATGCCAACGGTCACTTAACGTTCAACGTGCAGTCAAACAATCGACCGGACGCGCCGCTTCAACGCACCTAACGTAGAGCCACGCTGTGTCCGTTCGATTCCAGTAAGAGTCCAGAGATGTTTTTCGTCAACTGGACGCGTCAGGTCACGAGTGACCGGACGCGCCCAAGGGTCCGATCAGCTCACTGTGTCTTTGCCTGTGAAAAACCTGCCGACGTCAGCGTACGTCAGCCGCGACCTAACGCAGCCCCTGCGCGTCCGGTCACGCGTTGACCTCTGCGTCCGCTCGCCTGAAGAAGTGATCGGGCGCGCCGGTCAGGGCCAGAGCTAGCATCTGGTCCTTCAGCTCGCCCTCGGCCAGACAGCGCTGCTTCGCTATAATTGACCGGACGCGCCTGGGGTGAGTCTGGTCACCCCGCGGCCAGCGTCCAGTTGTGGACTGTCTCCTCATTTTCTTTTTCTAAGTCCACAACCGCTTCACCCTTGCTTCCAAGTTGTTAACCACAAAGTGTAGAACTAGTGTGCAAGAGTATTAACATTTTTCAAAGCATTTTACAAGGGTCAAGGTTAGCACACTGGATTCCTAAATGCATATGCAAGAATTATGTCACCTAATGGCACTCGATAGACCGTTTAGCCAAATATTTTCTCTCTTTATAGTATGGCTATCGATCCTAAGTCACTCACACCCTCTATGGTGTCTTGAGTGCAAAACAAAAACCTATCTTATACCTTTGTCTTGATCTTCTTGGTTTTTTTTTTCTTTCTTCGTTTCCAAGTTAGAGCTTGATCATCATCTACACTTGTCCATCTTCATCTCCATGGACCTCACCTTGCTCACTCACTTGGATTGCACCAATCTAGCTCATATCACCACTCACGACAAAGGTTAGTGCTAGATTTCATCAATTATCCAAAACCAAACTAGGGCTTTCAATCTTCCCCTTTTTGGTAATTGATGACAACCTATTTATAAAGATATTCAATGAAATTTTCTTGGATTCATGTTGCTTACCCAAGCATATTACCATGTGTAAAGATTATGGACAAGTTTCATCAACCTAAATTGGTAGTATTAGCTTCCCCTACATATGTGTTAAGAGTTTGGATTTGAAAGGTTGCACATATGCATGGATTGAAAATTTGGGAGAGTAATAGTTATCAAATGATGCTAAGGTATAAAGAATAGACCTTTAAAGCGTGATAACAATCGAAGTTGCCAATATACACCATCCTTAGCACCGTTAGTAACTATATATTCACAAAAACTAGAAAACCCCGTGAGATCAACATTATATGAAAGGGTCTAGTTTTTATATGGTGAGCACAAGTTTAGTTACTCTTCCTATGCATGCTAGTTTTCATTTCATTAATCATTTTCTACAATCTAGCATACATCACACAAGCATGGAAAGGGAATTTAAAAACTTGTGCCATGCAAGCAAACATATGTAATGCACCATACAAGTTTATGAGCTTGCTCCTCCTACTTGTGTGCTTCAAATTTTAATTGATTCCCTTACAATGTCACATTTCATTTGTTTGCTCCCCCTATCTTACTATTTTTGTGAATTCTCTCCTCCATTGTTAACAATTAACACAAAAGATGAGCTCAAATTTTAAATAGGTTGGGATAAAACCATGTGAAGTGAGGGTCATTTTTCCAATTTGGTTCAATCTAGATTACTTGCAAAAGATATTTAATTCGGTTTGATCCAAGGACAAGCTTCTTCACTCCTCCAAATAAGGGTTATCATGCACCATGTTGAGTTAAAAACTTATAGCTCATTCTTTAAATTAAACATTAGGTTCACAAGCCCACAAACATGTCATATGCTAACACTAGATCATTTTATGCATACAAACAATAGTGGTACCAAACAAGCATTAAATTCATTTGATTTCCATGAATGAGCCTAAGCTATGATAGGAATGACTAGATGCACAAAACAAGTCCTTAGCAAAGAATGAATGCCATGACAATCAATTTTGGGTTATTGGTGGTATTTCTGCGCATTTATTTGCCGTCTTCCAGGGTCTCCTAAAGGTGCTTGCTGGTATTGACACGAGTTTCACTGTCACTTCTAAGGCCACTGATGAAGAAGGTGATTTTGCCGAGCTCTACATGTTCAAGTGGACAACGCTTCTGATCCCACCAACCACTATTCTGATCATCAACCTGGTCGGTGTGGTTGCTGGCACTTCCTATGCGATCAATAGTGGTTACCAGTCATGGGGACCTCTTTTTGGGAAGCTCTTCTTCGCCTTCTGGGTGATTGTCCACTTGTACCCCTTCCTCAAGGGCCTCATGGGGAAGCAGAACCGCACGCCGACCATTGTTGTTGTATGGGCTATCCTCCTTGCATCGATCTTTTCCCTGCTGTGGGTTCGTATCGATCCATTCACCACCAGGGTCACTGGTCCTGATATCGGAAAATGTGGCATCAACTGCTAGAATGAGCTGAATATATTAAAGAGTGGAACTAGCACCCATTGTGTCGTAATTTATCAGTGGGTGTCTCTTTCTATAGTATGCTAGGAACTTGGTCGGGAGAAGTTAATTACATATGGTGTAATATGTACCTCCGCTAGTGTTTATCCATAAGTTAATATAATATATATAGACTGCCTAGCTTGTCCGAAAGTTTATGAGAGTATTAGAGAATTATGTATGGCCACCAGGTTGATTTAGTGTGTACATTTAAATCTCATCTGCCAATATCAAATGCGTTTACCATGAAGCATCAATTATAGCTTTGCTTAAAAGAATTTAGAAGAATGTTGCACAAACCAATTAACAAATACAATTACACACCATTTTTTGACTAGTTTGTGTATACCCTCGTATTTACATGCTACAAATTGCTCAAATCCAACCCATCCTAGCTTTTGTCAGTGCAGGGCTGTGGGAGAACTGTCCCGGATTTTCTCCATTTTGCATTCTGGCATGTGCTTTGTGTATTGCCCTTGCCGTGCTGCATTTTTAGGTTGATGTTTTGCAAGGTAATGTCTTGGCATGGGACATTCTTGCTGCAGTTCATCTTGATGGCATCCTTGGTGGTGGTTGTCCCTCTGATGTTCTTGAAGACGACATTGCTGACCTCGACAGCCGACCCTTGCGCTTCGCATGGCTTGGCCTTGTCGCAGTAGTTCTGGTCGATGATTATTGGGTTCTTAACATCATACATGACCATGTTTTGGAACGTGATATCCTTGGCGTATCCACTTCCTCCCTGGTATGTTTTGATGCGTGCTCCGTTAGTCGTGCCATATAGTTGCACGGAATCTATGGTAATGCCAGAGACTTCAGCTCTTGAGTTGTCATCTCCTAAGCTTCCTATACTGATCCCATGTCCAGGACCACAAACAACTTTGGAGACATGAAGATCATGAGTCCCGTTCTCGATTGACATGCAATCACCCCCTGCGAAATTCAGCGGTGATGAGTTCACCGAAAGCTTGAAGATGCAATAATGGCATATGTTGTATACGATGCGAATAAGTATTCGCATCAAGCTATTTACCTGTCTTGATCTTGCAGTTTGTGACGCGTACATCCTTGCTCCGAGTGATGTGGACGCCGTCGGTGTTAGGGCTCGTGCCAGGCGCTGTGATGGACAACCGCGCCAGTAGCACATTGGTGCAATCCTCGACTGACATGTGGATCTGTTGGCTTCTCACAATTTTCAGATCCTCCACTCTCAGATTGGTGCAGTAGTGGAATGACAAAGCCGTTGGAGCTTCCTTGCAAGGCTGAAGAAAAGAGAAGCCAATTCTGCTAGGTTAGACACTTCCTAGTAAAGCACAAGCTTACAAATATTCAGATAAATAAACCAAAGGGTCGGCACCACACTTACCAGAGCCTTGTTGATCTTGCACGAGTGTGGCCACCACTTCTCGCCATTGCCATCGATGGCACCACCGCCATTGACGGTAAGCTTGTTGACGCTTCGGAACACGATCCAGTGCCTCCTGTCCTTGTCGCTCCAGTCCGCCCTGTTCGGCGACGCCACCAGCGTTCCCTTGACCGTGAGAGTAACGCTGGACTTGCACGGGCCCTGGAGAGTGACAAGCTTGAGCAGGTAGTGCCTGCTGTCTGGGACGAGCACGACGGCCGGTCGTGGCGAGGCGCACGCCGCCTTCCACGCCCTGGCCAGCGCCTGCGTGTCGTCGTGGCTCCCATCGCCACGGGCGCCGTAGCGGTCGACGCTGAACACGCTCTGCGACGACGGCGACGCCAGCGACCTGCCCCTGGGAGCGGCGGCGGATCCATTGGCGCGAGGGCTGTGCAAGTGGTTCGTGCCGTCATTGCTCGCTCCTGCAGCCTCAAGAGTGCCGGACATGAAGAGCATCGCGAGGAGAGGCACCATGAACACAAGCTTCACCAGCTTCCTGCTGGATGCCATTGTCAGAGCTACGCACGCGCGCTGTGCAGGTGGTGAGTTGCGGCCTCGACTTTGAACTCTCAAGTGAACAAAGATCACCGAAAATACAAAGATCACAACAGAACTGAAGGCGATAGTGCAGCTTGAGCTTTGTATCTGATCGCAGGGGACTTGTTGCTAGGCTTGCTCTGCTTGGTGATGGTGTTGGATTGGATGGTGACTTGGTGAGTAAGCAGCATGCCAACGGCCGTATATATAGGCGCGCGCGATGAGGCGGGATGCGTTGCTTGTGAAGAAGAGTTAGGTTGGCAGCAGATATGTGCAGTGGAGTGTGCATGCATGCTTTGCCATGCATACCCCATGGATTCCTGAGATTCTTCAGGCATGGCAAAAGGAGATAAATGTGCCTGAATCGTGTCCACCTGCAGGTATTTCTCACGACGAAAATTCTAACGTTTGTTTGCTTGCCCGCTGCCGTTGATGCGAGTACGTCCGATAGTGCACGTGCACGAGTGCTTGTGTACGTTTGTTCTCAGGACAAGTCAGCATGTCCATCAGATTCTTTGCAGTGCACTCCATGAAAGTTGGAGCATGAGGGCCCCCACGGCAGTGACAGTTCATAATTCGGTTAGGCATATGTGAGGAACTGAACCATGCTTTTATATAATTTCCCGATATGACGATGTCCGGAAGCAACAGGGGCTTATAACGTCCGGAAGCAACATACTAATATTATAGCATTCAACGTGTCGATGATGATGCAATCTGCTACTATAAGCACTTCATAAGCCAGCCGGTTCAGTAGTGCAAGAGTCAGCACAATCGACGCAAGCAAGCAATCGATCATGCATCTGTTTACAATGTTTCAAACTATGTATTGCAGCACCAATTATCAAATATCTCACTAGCTATTAGCCTATTACAAATTGAAGGTCCTAACGAAGCCTCCACATTAATCCTCGTGACAAGGCGCGGTAGAAAAAATAATTTCTTGAAATTTTTATAAAAACCCAGAAATATATAGTCATCACAATTCAGTAGTACGTCTCTAACCAATATTGACAGCGTTCGGCTGTACTACTCTCCGCTTGTTTCAGCTTATTCTCTCTCACAGAATACTATTCAACCATCCAAAATAATCCAAAATTCACAATTCCACCTACCAGCCGAACGAGCTAACCTTTTTGAATTTACCCACCTGTTCTATTATGATAAATTGCTGATCCTTCCATTATCATAGTGTCGGATACCAGAAAATGGGGTACCCCAAGCGAAGATCGAAGAACTACTTAGACCCTAAAAACAGAACCAACGGAATGAACAAACGAGGTCTCGACCGAAATCTCCGATTCGCCCGAGACCCCGTCGCCGAGCCCTAGCGGAAGCAAACGATTCTCCGACTCGCCCGAGACCGCCTCGCCGGGGCCCCCTCGTCGAGACCCCCTCGCCCGGGGCCTCGGAAGAAGTGCCGATTCTCCGATTCGCGCGAGGCCGGCTCGGCACCAGCCCCGTGGCCACCTCTTCAACCAAACTGCTCTGACCAAACGTCGCATCCAAGCACCCAACCACTCCGACAGGCGCACGATGGCATAGTACGGCGATGCGACCGGCTACACGCCGGTCGCGTCAACCCCCTGCCATCTGAGACGACACAGAGCAGGGGTTACCGACCACTGTGCTGCCTGACTCCTGCACCAAGGACATCGCAACGTGGGGAGTCAGAACGGGTTCCTGTAGCCTCGGAATCAGCGGACCGACCACCCCGTCTAGCCCGAGCCCCCCACAGGGCCTCGGATTCACTGATCTTGCTACGCCTCGCCCGTCCGCCTCGCCCGAGACCCCCTCGGAAGGGCCTCGGACGAATCGGCCACGCTCCGCCTCGCCCGAGGCCGGGCTCGTTCCACAACCTCGTCGCCTCCGCCTCAAAAGTCTCTCTGGCAGGCTGTCACATCCGATTAATGCGCTCGGCCGCACCCACTACGTAAGCCACGATCGGCAGTGCGCTGCAACAGGAGCGACGGGACAACGGTCAGATCACCTTTTTTACCATCCCTACTGACAACACAGGGCTCGGCACGGCAGGCCTCGGCACAACAGGCCTCGGCACGACCGGCTACGAAGGCCGCCGAGCCTCTGCAATCCACCAAGTCAATAAATGCGCAGCATGTTACTTGCAGTGAGGACCATACCGATTGGACATCTACGGGAACTCCCACGACAACGCCATGCTGCTCTAGGAGTAAATACGTCATCGAATAGTCCTTGCTCCGCGTGTAGCTCTCTTATGTACTCCTGGTTTCCTCCCTGCGGCTATAAAAGGAGGCAGCCAGGACCGTTTCCAGGACGACGGATAGAATCACAGATACTCGCACGAACAACACGCCTCGTTCTGTAATTTGATATCACCTCCCCTCACAGAGATCTGGGACGAACTCCCTCTCTCGCCTAGCTTGTAACCCCATACTACGAGCACCCCGGTGCAAGGAATACAAGAACACCTTCTCAGACTGGACGTAGGGCATCCATTGCCCGAACCAGTATAAACCTTGTGTCTCTTTGCATCTCCATCCGGAATTGGGAGCACGCAGCTCAAATTCACTAGTCGGTTAAGGACCCCCGGTTCCGAAACGCCGACAGTTGGCGCGCTAGGTAGGGGCCTCTGCGTGTCAGCTTAGTCATCCCACCAGATTCCGGATGGCAGATCCCGTGCGATCGTTGCATCTCGGGACGATCGTCTGGTTTGGGAGCCTAGAATTCATGTCTCTAGGGCATGAGTACGACATGGTACTCCTCTCACCCAGAGCGCCATCGACCGACGACGACGTCTTGCGCCGGCAGCCCACGCGCGGGCGGCGCCCGGGCCGCCGCTCCCGTCAAGCTCGCCGAGCGCCGCGCGGGCGAATCCACCCTAACACCACGCAAGTACAGAACGCCGATCTGTGCTCCACCGGAACCCCATACCCACTGCTGGCACAGAGTCCCTGCACGGGGACCTGTCCGGCTTAAGCCTCGACAGGGGAAAAGGGCCGGTGGCGCACAGCGACATCCCATCCTCAAGCTCTGTCCCGCC